GTGTGTAGACACACACACATTATACACACACATGTATATATATTATGTATATGTATATTGTATATTGTATTCAATACAAATTCACAGTACTGAAATGTTGAATATATGAGCTAATTGATGATTGAATTTGATTCTAAATATAACATTACAATCCATTTTATTTTTTATGTTTATCATTTTTTTTACTAAACTAATAATTTAGCTAGCATATAAAATAATATATAATTTTATATAGTATATCAATGAGATTATTTCATAATTTTTTATAATTAATTAATTTATCTAATTTTTCAAACTACACGAACTCTTAATTAATTAAGGATTGGAGGGAGTAATTTTTTGCTGCATGGGAGAACAAATAACATACAAATACAGATTAAAATCAATTATTTACGCGCTCTGGCCAAAAATCAATTTATACACATGTTCACTCAAACGTTGATTCCCAGTAGATCATTAGTTTTGCAATTTTAAATGAACAGATTAAATTAATTAATTACCTTTTTTTTGGACCAAACTACCTTTTTTTTTCAATTACTTCACCCGGCAGCCCCTATGTCACGGAAAACTCAATAGGCTTGGACTAATCCTGTTCGGCCGTCGTAGGACCCTAAGAGCGGCTAGCCTACCACCAAGTATTTAATACTACTGTATAATTAAGACTTGAACTCAAGACCCTTGGTTAAGCTAGGATGGCCCCTTACTAGTTGACCTAAACGCTTGGTGGTAAATTACCTAATTTAATAGTAAAAGATATCGAACGAATCAAAGAATCAGTTACCTGCGACGGGAATTTCGACGGCAAACTCGGTGTAACAGAAGACTGAGAGTAAGGCGGAGACGCCGGAGACAGCATAAGAGATTATCACCGCCGGACCGGCCTTCTCCCTAGCCTCAAGGCCAGTGAGCACGAATATTCCGGCCCCGATGACTGCTCCGACGCCGAACCACATTAAGTCCCACCAATTGAGCGTCTTCTTCATCTCGCCCTGGCTTCTAGACTTCATATCGACGAGCTCGGTTTTATCCATGGACCGGGTCATGAACCGATCCTTCAACCGAAACGGAGTGTCCAAGAGCGCCCTCCCGTAGTTTCCCAAGCTCCGGAACGACTCCTCCGGGAGGAAGTCGTTTTTACGAAATGTACATCCCCTCCTCCGTAGACCAACGTCGTCCACGGTGACATCATTGCCGTCGTTTACCATTTTGCTGCTGAAAGCAGAGAGAATAGATCGTAATATGAGAGTGTGGCGGGTGCAATTGGATAGATTAAGTATAGATCCGAATAACAGTATAGAATAAAATTTGCGGTATTCTCTAACTGATTTTTTTAAAGAATTTAAAGGAAAAATATGATTAAAAATGAAAATAAGTTCCTAGTATTACTTTTACAAGAAAATAAAATTATAAAAAATAAATTGTTTAAATTAAATATTTCAGTATACATATAGGCTATAGAGAAAGGAGAGAAAAAAATAGGAAAAATACACAAACCTTCTATTTCATAAACGTGATGTTAAATATTATTGTAATGCAGAAGTTGTGATGAAAAAAATTTGATTTTAAATTATCCTGATTTTTAAATTGGAGAGTGGAGACAAACAAGATGCCAAAAAAAATAGAAATATATATGCTGAAGTATATATTTAATCTTTTAATTTTGTATAAAATTTTAATTTAATACTTAATTTTAAAAAAATATATATTTAACCCTTTAACTGTAAAATTGTTAATTTTAGATAATATTTTTTATAATAACTATCATTATTTTAAAAATTAAACTTAATATTGTAGTAATTTAAATTTTTTCTTAACATGTTTTTTTAACGGTTTTAAGTTTAAATAATTAAAAATATACCCGTTTTAATTAAAGGACTAAACAAAAAGTTTGTATAAAATTGAATGATTAAAAATATATTTTTTTGAACATATAATAATATGATAAGAAAAAGTTACATAAAAAATGGAAGGGATTTGAAGATTAGAAATTAAAAATTTGAAAATTAAGATTACAATGGAAGTTATTATAACAGAAAGAAAGAAGTTGGGGAAATGAGAGAAATTTTTTGAAAACTTTTAATTAAAATATAAAATATATAATTTAAATTTTCATATGCGTGAAGTGGAAATCACATTTTTCATAAACTACTATATGAGAAGATACACTCGGATCGAATAGAGGCAGCCATTTGGTTTAACCAAATATAATCACATGGCTCCAACTAGACTATCATATACACTCTCAAATACGATGGAATCACCCTTTTTAAGAAAAGTATAGATTTAAATAATGATCTACAATATGATTGCAATAATGTTTAACTAATTTTTAAAAATATTAAGAAAAGGTCTAACATGAAATTAGTTATTTCTTCAATAACATTTCCAAGTCATCGCCACTATTATCATTGCGCTGATAAAAATATTCCTTTTTATAAAATAAAATGACTTAAAATAAATAATGCTATAGAGCATAAATAGTCAAGGTAGAAAAATATATATTACACAAATTTAAAAAATACTACCTCCGGTCCTAAATATAAAAGTTAATTAACTAATTTGAATGTATTAAGGAAATAAGTTAAGTTAGTTATTTGTGATAAATAAGTGTTGTCTTTCCTAACATATATTTGCTAATCAAGATTATTGACTATAACTATTATTATTAGAAGGACTATCATAGAAAAAAAAAAGATAAATATGAAAGACAAAACAGATTAGGGTTTTATATTTAAGACCAAAATAAAGTCAAACGAGATTTTACATTAAGGATTAAAGGAAATAGTTAGGTGGACTTAGGAACAATTTTGGCACATAAAAGGATTGCCAATCGATAATAGACCCGGTTAATCCCATCAAGATAGAAATAAGGAAATCTGGAGGTGCCAGCTATCTTGTTAGAATGGATTAAAATGGATTATTGTTAACATGTAGACATAGGAGTAGGGGTCGCAATAAAATAACACTATACTCCACCGGTCCTTAATATAAGACCATTTAACTAATTTGATTGATTAAGGAAGTTAGGTAAGTTAGTTAATTATAAGAAAGGTGACACATTTTTCCCAAAATACCATAACTATCTTTCTTAATACCCCATCTCCCTCTTCTACTTGATTATGGGTGAGAGAGAGTATCTATAGGGGTAATTTAGAGAAAATTGATAAATATGAGAAATGGGTCTTATATTTAGGACCAAAACCAATTCAAAAATTAGGTCCTATATTAAGGACCGAAGGAGTACAATAAGATTGTGTTATCCTCTAACTAAATTTTGAAAATAAAAAATAAAAAACATAATATTTAATTGTTTATTCAATTTCATTTACAAGTCAAATTTTTACTTTTACATTTCACGCTTCTTTTACATTTATATATATAGTTAGAATACGCAGATGATTAAAAAAAAATAATATTTACACTAAAATAGCATCACGAATACGAATGTTGTACTTGCATTGTTTTTTCTCGAATCGTAATTGGTTCTTACAATCCAAAAAGAGTGTGTGTGTGTGTGTGAGTGTGTGTGTGTGTATATTTTGTGTGGGGCTCAAATGAAAACTACCTCTAATGTTTCCCATAACTTTCCTCTTTTTATAGGTGGTTTTCTAATAATTCCCCACTTCTATTATGAATGTGGGTGCTTAGATATGTAAGAAAAAACTTAATTCAACTTAAAGCCTTTATTTAAATAAAATGATATATATTATTACAAATTTTATATATTAAATATATAAAATTCGTCCACCACCATTACATCTATATATTATAATAAAGTGTCTGTTTCAAAAATTATATATATCATAAATATATTAATTTTGATCCTCAAGTAGCTTTAATAGAATTTTATAATTCGGTTTAACTTAGGATATTAATTTTTTTCATATGACATCGCTCAAAGATCTTATATTTCAAAATAAATTTTCTAAAGATTTCAAATCCTAAATTATGTTATGAATATATAAATATGTTTATGGATGTCCATATATATTCCATTATCTCCTATATCTCCTATAATCTCTAATATCTTCCATTATCTCTATATCCCACAATTATTTTCCATTATTATGTAATCTGTAGATTCTATCAGACATAAAACCGTGCCTATAAATAGAGGGCATATATCATGTATTGAGCACTATTGAATAGAATGAGAAACACTCTCTCTTATTGATACTCTCTTCTTCTTTATTATTCTTCTCTATTTCTTTTTTATTTATAACAAATTATAGATAATATAATACTATTATTTCATCTTAAATCATACTTCAAAATAATAAGAAGAAAGTATCATTTCACCATAAACAATCTTATGGGATTATAATAGTGTGGATTCAAAATGTCCCTACTCTTCTTAGATTTAATTGTTTGGGTGAAAATCAAATTATAATTTTAAAAGTAATTTTAAGATATACGAAATAAATATGTAAAAAATTTTTTTACCTTGAGTGAAAACATTTTTATAAATATTTTCATGGGTTATCAAACCCCCCGCCCCCCAAAAAGCACGTGCATGCTCAGTTCTGATTTATTGACCCGGACATCTGGATTGCCCATGTCTTGTCACTTAATAGTTTTCATGTTTTCTCTTTCGTCTGAACTACATGCACAAGTCTCCATTGCATTCTCAGCTTTCCTTCATCGTGCCGTGAGATTCAGAATTGGATGACGCCCACTAAAACCCTAAGGTGGATTTGTAAAAACTTCATGCCAACTTATTAGGTATAGGCAACTAAGCTTTCCAGAGCTCTGCCATATCAACAAATGGTTCAGGGTTTTATCATCATCCACGAGCACATTTGGAGGAGCTCAAGTTTGATGTTGGACTCTTCATGTTTGCTACGTCTTGGTCATTAATAAATGTATGAAGAAAACACAGAGCATAAATGAAACCGAACCCAATTCTCTTCATCTTATAATTTCGGTAGCGAAAGAACCATTGCCATATCAACAAAATAAGGCAACAAATATGGCCATAAGGAAGCAGATGCCATAACATATAAAATCAGAAAACGCAATATCATCAATATTTGCCTCACGAATCTAAACTCAAATGCACAGTAACCAGAAACAGAACATCAATTTTTGTTCCATGTCAGCCCTACTGAAGAACATTCTTGCATGCGCCTAAGATGAGACCTTCCACATTATTTATACAACATAATCTAGTGACAACAAAATTTCAGTCGTTAAAGAACTAAATTGCATTGACATGTTTGCAAAATTACACACCACTTTGAGAGGCATAAAGAAATGGGAGGGAAGGACACGCATAAAATAAATATATTTCATAGTTTTGACGAACAAGAAATGCTAAGGTAAGTGTTTCAGTATCTATCTAACTAGGGCCACTGATTAATCCTTGTGTGCATCTCATTCCAAGGCAAGGGCATCATCAAGTTCTGAGCTCGTGTTATAGAAGGATTCCATCTTTTCTGTTCAGGTCTTCCAAGTTTATGCTTGCCTCCAGTCCCATGCTTAGTAAATCAACCATGGCAAGAATATCAGATTTCAAGGAGGCTGCTAATGCCTAGCAGTCCAACAGAAAAAAAGAAGCAGATAATCATGAATTAGTTTCTTTGAAGTGGCAGAACCCAAGAAATTCGGCAGTAAGAATTTGAGAGAATTATATATTAATATGGAAAATTTTTCATTAGGAATTCCTCAATGGCAATTCTCCCTTTTCTTCCACAATTCGATAGCATACCTTCCTGCCCTCTTCTTTTTGGTGCTTTATAACTTCCAAAGGCCACTCAGATACAAGCTTCTGAAGTTCATCCTTCATGCCTGACTTTTTAGCATCGGGCAGAGTCTGCCAAGCAAAAACTCCAATAGTGTCAAAAGAAAGACGTGAAATAAATAACAAGTTCTCTAACAATTGAATCAAACACAACCACCATCTTAGCAGAGTAAGCAAAACAAGCAAAACAAAACATCTGAAGGAACAAAATTTAAATCTGCAAATCCAGAACTCGGCTATAACACACATGATAGCTCACACCCACAAACTCAATTAACCGATCAGTCAAGAATAATGGTATCCCAAAATCCAAATTCCAAGTTAAAACAGAAAAAATATCTTCACTCCTGTTGTTGCCAGAATCAATTTAGCTTTTAGTGCCTTTGGGAAAAAATATACATTTGTGTTACAGCTTGACAGACATTTTCTCTTATTCTCGTTTGAAAATATATTTGTTACCTTTATTTTCTTTTGTTGAAATTATTTGTTTTTTCAACCAAAAAAAAAAACAGAAATTATTTGTTTCACTTCATCAGGTAAAACAACACATTGCATTAGAAAAATAGGCAACGCCATGCATACCTCATTTAGGGCCTGAATGACGGTTGCTGCCTCATTAGGTTTATGTTCCAACAGAAGACCCTGCACAATCATAAATATGAACTTAGTTCAAATTGTTACGTTGTTACGAAATCATACATGCTAAACAAATGTCAGCACTGAGCTTAAGTTCTTAGCAACTTATGTGAGGAAAAGGTGAATTTTTGCAAGACTAGCCAAATTAACCATAATTAAAATAATAAATTGCAAGATAAATAACATATCCCCCTCCTAAACATGTCCAACTACAAAACCCTCCCCTCTATTTTGAAAATTGACACTCCCATGCCCTGAAATCAAAAGATGTGCTACATTAATATTACCTGAATCAAAATACCTGCGCATCTATTATTTGTAAAACACAATTATTTAGTGATAAAGATTCACTGGGATCCAACACAATAAAGTTCCAGTATGATAAAATGCATAGTAGACACAGCATTTAAACTTAATAACCACATTTTACCAAAAACAACTAATAATTCAGACAATAGCGGAGAAAAATTTCTACCTTTGCACATGACAACCCACTTGCCAGGGTGTGCTGTTTCATTGACTCAGATCTCAGCCTCTCAATTTTCCACAATGATTCTGTGTCTCCTACAAATAAGTAAATCAAATAGTTCATAAACAATCAAAATCATTATTGGAAGCAACTGATTCAGCAAGCCCAAACAAACAGAATGGCGTAACTTTAAATCATGCAGTGCTCCCATGCATGCGCTTTCTCATAGAACAAGTATTCTTTGAAAAGAAGTAAAAGATATTTAATTATAAAAAATAAATAAAGAGCACATGAAAAAACAAGCAAAGACACATTTGACAGCAAGTAACAATTTTGTTGTTATATATTTATGATATAGCTTTCAGGGCTTTGCTTGTTTTCTTCAATGAAAGAAAAATCAACTTTGCCAATATGGGAGAAAGAGGCGGTTTAGAAAAACAGTGAAAGAAAAATAAAGGTCAGCAGATGAATCAACTTCAGCACGGCACTTGAACAGAGAATAATCATGGTAGTGCTCCTAGTCAAAAATAAAAGCGACGACATATTCACCTCTTCTTGCAGCAAATTCCATCCATGTGTCAAATGAGGTTTGTCGTAGTTTTACACCAGCCCCCACAAACCTCTTAGCATATTTATTAATCAACTCCCAATTATCGGTTTTGTAACAAATGCTGCAAATGGCCAAACCAGGTGCAGTATTAGGGCATATGCAAAAGTGGATCTTTCCAAGAGAAAACTTATACACTGCTAAAAAAACAGCATGAAACCATCAGAACCTCAATATACCTGAAAACTATATCTGCTGTGCCCGGTTGCAATGGTAAATCATTAGCCTTTATAAGTTTCATTACTTCAACCAACAGTTTACTATCATTGTGATTCTTAGCATAAGTCTGCAGTCAACTGACGGTAGTTTATTAATTGCAAATCTGAGACAGAATGAAAGCATTCAGAATTTCGGTGTCTAAACAATACCAGCAAATGGTGTGCGGATGCAACACTCGGAGTCAATCCATATACATTATGCTTCCACAAGGTCTTCTTTCCTGCATGTCCATTTAAGAAACTCGTTTTAGAATTTCATGCCATGATTCTGTAAGGTGAAGATAATAGTTCACATCCATAACTAAGCAGCATTATAACAGGAAAATTATTCAACAGATCACTAATTAAGCAATGTATAAAAGAAAGCATGATTGGCAGAACAAAAGACTCAGCACTAAACAATAGGAACAGATTCAGTATGCCCACCAAAGTCGAGAGCTCCTACTCTAGCACATGCTTTAGAAACTTCTCGACAAAGGTTGTCATTAAAATTTGTGTGAATGCGAAGATTTGAGAGCCTCTGCTTCCAAAACAGATTAAAACGATCACTATAACAAAGAGAAGAAACAACTGATTTAATTTAAGACAGACAATGCAGATGAGGAAATAATAGAAACTAACGAATCTGCGGAGGTTCTGCAAAATGTCAAACAGAAGTTCAATATCACCATGGTTTCCACATTTCTCAATCATTGACCATAACCAAGCATTTGGAGGCATTGATCGTTTAACATTTACAGATTCCAGCATTTTGTCGTACAGTTCCTTCACGGCCTCTGCATTTAACACTGCAAATCAGACATCTAAAACAGAAACTTCAACCAAAAAAACAAATCTGAAAAGGAATGATGTAAGGTAAAATCAAGAACCTGTCGAAGCCCCTTCATCAGTGTTTGTTATTGACGTAGAAAATGACTTTGACGTCAATAAGTGCACAGGCACTGATTCTGTCGTCAATGATTGAGCTGACCCTGTGTCAATGAATCATTCAATTAAGTGATTAGCCCAAAATGAAACTCAAATAAACAAAAACTGTAGAGTGAAACATCAAAATTTTATATGGAAATCAGAAGACATGGACGCCACCTAAGAACCAAGTGGCCTTTGAAGACAAGCTGCTCGTGTTCCGGCAGGGAGTAACCAAGTGAGGACCTCCGACGCTCTGAAGGTCATAAGAAAGGAAATGATAGGAGTTAAGCAATGCCCTAGAAAACCGGCGAGCATTCGAGAAAACTTGCATGGCTTTCAGGAACAAAGCTACAAACTGAGTCAATTAAGTGTCGTTCTAAGCCCAGCCGATGGGTTTGCGGAGGTGGCCTCGAGCTCTAGGGCGTCTGATCAGGGTTTAGTGGAAGAAGGAGCAGGATGAGATCGCCTGGTCACGCAGCCCGTGATCATTACGTGGACTCGCATTATTATTATTATTATTATTATTTTTTAATTTTCTTTTTTCGTGTGAAATGGATTCAGAGTCACGGGAATGCCAATGACATTGCTGCTTTCATATCAAGGTGATTAAATATTTTTGGCCAAAAAATATATCCAATTAAATATTATTCAAAATCAATTGAGTAATTAAAGCAATCCCATATAACAGTCCTTCATATCTTAAATATTTAGATTTATTTTGAGGACTCAATCTTGCTAATAAATACTCATCTAATTCTTAATGTAAGACCTATTTAATTAATTTTATTAGATTAAAGAAGTTAGGTAAATTAGTTAATTATAAGAAATATAACATGTTTTTCTAAAACACCATAATCATCTTTCTTAATATTTTTTCTCTCTCTTCTACTTGATTATGGTTGAAAGAGTATCTATAAGGATAATTTAGAAAAAATTAATAAATATAATAAATTAATCTTATATTTAAAATTAAAATTAACTTAATAATTATATTTTATATTGACCAGTGAAGAAGTATAATATTAGTAATACATGTCCTAAATGAATTTATCGCATAAATATATGATACTTCAAAGCCACAAGCTTAATAAAATTGGTGATAACTATATTTCAAACATGCGTATTCAGAGTGTCAAATTGACAAGACATCCAATTAAGTGCCTCTTTATATGATGATAATATCACAGTTTGAATGCCTTGGCCACAAAAATTTACATTACAATATGGGAAAATGGCAATTAGGTCCCACTTAAAGGAATTAAATCCAAAAAATCCCTTAAAATCATGAAATTATTTTAAAGTCCCAAATTTTTTTTTGCATTAAATTTTATTTATTTACTTATGAAATTACCCTTTTTTTTTTAAGTTTGCATTAACAACTGAAAGAGCAATGGTTAACAACTCAGGGTGCAAGGATTGACAACTATCGCGGCTGGTTTGATAACACATTTTCTCAGTAGTTAACTACTGTTCTTTCAATTGTCAATACAAATTTAAAAAAAAAAGAAGGGTAATTTGGTAATTAAACAATAAAATTTATTGCAAAAATGTCCCTTGGGATTTCAGAATAATTTTATGATTTTAAGGGACTTTTCTACATTTAATTCCTTTGAATGGGACCTAATTACAATTCTCCCTTATAATATTATTTACATGTTGCATCCTTTTTTTGTGTGGATATCTAACGGAAATAACCTTACATTATTCCAACCTGATCACTTTCAAGGGTGCGATTGCATCCTTTTTTTCCCCTCTGCTAGCTAACCATCTTTCTATATTTATTTCATGACAGATTTGTACATAACATTCTCATTTGATTATGTTATATTATCATTTAAACCATTATGGACAGTTTTATCCTTTTGGTTCTGTTTTTTTCTTTTTTTTAAATTATGACATACTAAAGTCCTACAAACAATTATGTCTCAGCTTTTTTTCTTTTTTAGTTTTTGTCTTTTCAATATGATAATCTTGATTACTTTTTTTATCTTTCCTTTCCCTTGAACTTATCATTCTTTAGTACTTCCGACATGTATTACTTCTGATCCTTAATATAAGACCTAATTGTTGAATTGATTTTAGTGTTAAATATAAGACATATTTCTCATATTTATCAATTTTTCCTAAATTACCTCTATGGATACTCTCTTAACCATAATCAAGTAAGTGAGGGAAGGAGGATATTAAGAAAGATGATTATGATGTTTTAGGAAAAATATGTCATATTTCTTATAATTAACTAACATACCTAACTTCCTTAATATAATAAAATTAGTTAAATAGTTTTTATATTAAGGATCGAAAGAATATTTTCTTTGGCAAAAGAAATATGTTTTATTTTCATTTATACAGATTGAAGTTTTCTCGAGTAGAATATGAGATTTAAAAATTCTTATCTAGGTCACTGATTGCATCAAACACATATTTTGTAATATTTTATGCATGTAATTGGATGTTAACTTTCATTTCAAATTTCTATATGTGAGGATTCAATTAAGATAATAATAATGTATACAATGTATTTTTCACTAGTTATATCTCCCTCAATTTGGAAAAAAAATTGCCAAATGACAATTAATTAATAGTGTAATATAAGCGTGTTAAATTCGATTATTTTGGTCCCTCTAATTTGCTCACTTATCAATTTCATCCTTGAAGTTTAATCACCATCAACAAGTTCTCATGGTTTTATAATGAAGGGAAAATAATATCATAAGGACTAATTGTGTATATTAATATAATTTTAAGGACTTGGGTGATAAATTTTAAGTTTTAGAAACCAAACTGATGGTTGAGGCAAATTTGATAAACCAAAAATTTTCTTATCCCTAATTTTTACTAGCCTTTGTGCTTAGCCATTAAAAATCATAGATATTGTGCAAACATGAATTGAAGAATTTATTTTAACTAGATAATGTATTTTACATACCCATATAATTTAATATTAAATAATAACATTAATTAATTAAATTTAAATAAAATATAATAAAAGCATTTTTTTTTTGGCCGAGCCAAAGAAAAAAAAAGCGCAGGGAAGATAGATGGATACGATCTGAAGCGTTTGGTACTTTTCTTCCCCAAGATTCGTCGGGGAGGGACTGACCTAGCTGTCCCAAAGGAGACTGCTTTGCTTCCTCTCGGACTCTGTCTATGGCCTGTGTTTGATCCTCAGCAAGTGATATTAGAGAAGCAGTTGCGTCTACTACTCCAGCTGCTTCTTTCTTCCTTCTTCTATTGATGGCTCTGTGAATTTCCAATCTTAATGCCCATTAACACGATGCTAATGCCCCTGAAAGATGTGACCAGATCAAGAACTCTGCTTTCCTCAATTCTCACACTCTATCACCCTCTAGTTGTTCCTATTACTACTTCTCTGTCTTGTACTTGCTCTTATTCTTCTTCTTCTTCCTCCTCCTCTGGTTCTGAGAGCCCATCCAGTTTCCGGCCATTCTACAATATCGTTGAGGATCGCCCAGTGGACATAGCGGCTTCCTTCAAGAATTGGTTTAAGAGTGGGAATAATGAGGTGCTGGCCAGAATCTACGAAATCCTGGATGGCTGGGGTGGAAATGGAGACGGCGAGGATTTGACCCTTCACGCCACCGACTTGGCTCTTAAACAGTTGGGTCTTCGGCTGTCGGAAAGCTTTGTCTTGGATGCTCTTGCCTATGGCAGGGACGTTTTGTCTTGCCTCAAGTTCTTCGATTGGGCTGGACGTCAACCCGGGTTCTTCCATACCCGGGCCACGTATACTGCCATTTTCAAGATTCTCTCGAAGGCTGAACTTATGTCAGTCATGTTCGATTTCCTTAAAATGCATGAGAAGGCAAGGTTCAATCAGAGAGTGAGATTTTATGATACTTTGATCATAGGTTATGCTGTTGCACGGAAACCAGAAAGAGCCCTTAATCTGTTTGGTAGAATGCGGTTCCTAGGACTGGACTTAGATGATTTTGGTTATCACGTCTTGTTGAACTCCTTAGCGGAGAATAATTCTTTGGGTGGGTTTGAAACTATTTTGGAGCAGATTCGACTGAGAGGTCATGAGAATCATGTTACACATTCCGTAGTAATGAAATACTACTGTATTCGGAAGCGGTTATGTGAGGCGGAAGAATATCTTAACTCGCTGGTGCATAGTGGGAAAGTTTTGCATGGGCCTGAAGTGAGCGTCCTTCTTCGTGCATTGTGCGAGAATAACATGTTTGAGCGTGCTGGAGAATTGATTGTGGAATTTGGGAACTCAGGGTTGGTTCCGCATGAAATTGCTCTTGTTGAGTGGATACGTTATCTTGTTCGGGCTGGAAGATCGGACGAGGCGCTGGCATATTTCCGGGATAAGCAATCTTCAGAAGGTTATATTCCTGGCTTGTTCCAGTACAACATTTTAATAGGCAGGCTCTTGAAGAAGAAGCAGCTTCATGAGGTGTATGATTTGCTGATGGAAATGAAAGACAATCACATTACTCCGGATATGGTTACCATGAACATTGTTATTTGCTTCTTTTGCAAAGCAGGAATGGTAGATGTTGCACTTGAATTATACAACTCAAGATCTCAGTTTGGACTCTCTCCAAGTCTTATGGCTTACAAAAGTTTGATTCATACTTTATGTCTGAATGGTAGTGCTGCTGAAGCATATGGTGTTTTCAAAAAATTAATTGATGAAGGTTATTTTCTTGATAGAGGAATCTTTTATGAAGTTGCCAATGCATTATTTAGAGAGAGCAAGGTTGATAAGATGGAGGAGTTGCTCATTCTTGCCTTGGAGAGGAATTTTTTGCCTCGTGCTGCGATATATGACAAATTGATAGAAGCTCTATGCCAGGCAGGACGTTTGCGAGATAGTTATCTAATTCATGGGGAACTGAACAACATAGCTTCTCAAAAGTCTTACATTAGATTGATTACTGGTTTCTCCAAGTCAAATAGGGGAGATATTGCTGCTCAGCTTCTTGTTGAAATGCGACAGAAAGGTTTTGTCCCAACAGATGCACTATATAGAGTTGTTATTCGTTCTTTGCTTAAAGGGGATAATCCAAAAGCTCATTTTCTTGGTTTATTAGAGACATTGGCCCGCTATGGAGCACTAAAAGAGATTAGTCGCCTTTTTGTTGATGAAGCTGCCGTGGCCAAGAAGCCTGAGCTGGTCAAGGGAGTATTTGAGATTAAGCAACGATGTGGCATTAACCTGACTTTGGCCTCTTATATTTATATTTTACGGAGTTATTTACGAAGTGAAAGAATTATGGATGCTTTAAATTTCTTTAATGACATGAGGCAACGTGGTATCAAGAATAGAAGATTATATAATAGCATTATTACTGGTCTCTGCCGGGTCAAGAGGACAGACTTGGCACTTAAGTTATTGTCAGAAATGATGAATGATAAATTAACTCCAAATATTGGTTGCTATGAAAATCTTGTTCAGAGTCTTTGCTTGGAGAAAAGATACCCTGAAGCTATAAATCTTGTTAATGACTATGAGAAAATGGGACGTTGCTTAACCTCTTTTATGGGTAATGCATTTCTGTTGCATTCTTTGCGAGCACCTGAAATCTATGATATTTGTGTTCGCTTGAGAGGAGTCAGAGAGGAGGAATTTTCTGGCAGCTCAATGCTTAGCCTGATAATTGGTGTATTTTCCGGTCGTCTTAGAGTAAACCTCCATTCTGAGAACTTGGAAGAACTGATAGAGAAGTGCTTTCCGCCTGACAAATACACCTACAATCTGTTGTTGCTAAGAGCTAGCTGGAGTGAGATTGACCAAGCCTGTGAGTTGTTTGATCGGATGTGTCGAAAGGGTTATTATCCTGATCGGTTCACTTATAACATCATGTTACGTGCTTTCTTAAAGCATGGGAGAAAAGAAGAGGCTAAGCTGTGCTTTGAAGAAATGCTCAGAAATGGATTTCATCCAGCAGTGGATGCTAGAAAACTTTATCGTGAGGAGTATCAATTAGAGTGATTGATTAGTTCTGCTGTTAAAGATGCAAAATAATCCACACAATTTTGGTAAGGATGTCATGTATTCTTTAAAGAAATTGATAACATTGAATGCAGCAGTTTTAATTTATGATTTGTTATTCTGGGTCATCTAGAATTATGTGATGCATATTTTAATTTGCCTTTTTTCCTTTGGAGGCATTTGTTAGGAATGAAATTTGACTGCCGCAGGGAGTGTATCATAAACTGTTTTCCCTGCAAAATCATCCCAATACAATTGCACAAGCCAATTTTCAGTTGCAACCATCACTATCGTTATAATCACACTTAGCTCAAGTTAGGTTGAATTGAACCAGAGTGGTAGCATTCCTTTTGCACACAGGCTGACTGCAATTAATTTTGCAAAATTCTTGCAAGCAAATGCTAACCTCGTTTTCAATTAACTTTTGAAATGGGAACTGTCTTCAGTTTTCTCTCTATATCAATGCCCTTGTGGGGAATCATTTCGCTTTAGTTTCTATTAAAGGGTTAAAAAATGTTTAGAAACAATTAAAGGCATTCTTTTGTGTCGGTTATTTCTTTATTTTCACAGAAATTTCTGCGAAGTCATTAAGAATATTACTTGTGATTCACTAATAAAAGTTGTGTCCAATCTGATTCTTAGATCAAATGCTCAAGGTATACAGATATTACTTCCTTTGCCTATGGAAGCTCAAAGGTAGGTCAGGTAACACTATCTTTTGGATGTGGCTCAACTTTGCCCTAGGTGTCCTTTTTTCCAAAAAAAAAAAAAAAGAAATTAATGGAGATGGATTTCCCATTTTTTTGACAAGATTTCAAACATCTGAAAAGAGTTGCAGACTGAAGTGAACTAGTTATCCGAGACATGTTGTGCAGTAGGTAAAATTTATTTTGTAATAAGGGCATGCCTGTGTAATTTGAGCAGATATCTTGCTATTTTTCATTTGAGACTGTATACTTCTTTTTCTCAATAGAAACTAGTGTGACTCTTGTGCACGGGGTTTAAAAAAAAAAAGCAGCACTGTTTATGATTAAATAGTACTTGTTGGTGTTTTTATATTGTAAAAACAAATCGTGTTCATATCTTTGTCTTTTGTCTTTCGTCCTTGTTTGACTCTTATTTACCAAGTGCATGTTGTTCAGGATTATTATGTGAAAGAATTTTAACTTTGTTTCATTTGATTCTAAGTAAAAGTTTCACTTCTGTAAATTGACCAACCTTCAACTATTTGATTCCACTTCTTTCCCATAGTACTGTTGGTAACTTGTTAACCTTTTTTTTTTTTTTTTTGGGTGAGTTATTTGTCAACTTAGATGTGTGTGACACGGTCATGTGGTATCAATTCTTCTTTAGGTCGTCTTATGATATTGACTTTCTTTACTCCATAAGCATGCTTCATTTATGTAATCCGTAATTTTATGCATTGGGCCGCACTCCATCTTTGCCCTTTTCTCTATTGTCTTTCTAGCACCGTATAATATATAAAGACTCTAATTTAAGTATTTGTTTGCGGTTTATTTATCTCTTATCTTTGATAGTTTGATGATTTATATACTTTTTGTTGATGTCAAACACTCTTAAGTTTCATTTTTTTAAAATTTATTGAAAGGTTATTTGTGTTTCAATTCAGATCCAAATTAGGTTTAGCAATCACACGAATCGCTTATTGGTTCTAAGTAAGTTTGTTTCAGATATTTCAATTCAGATAGGAGCTGTTTTTTTAACCATTGGGTACTGAGTTACGTGCTTGTATTGTGCATGTTTATGCTGATGGACCATAAATTATCTGGCGCTTTAAATGATATGAATAAATGCTGAGCATTTGGGTCATTTTCTTCATAAGATGGATTTCTAGACCTTGAATTAAATGACCTTATCGAGAGTCATTTTTGATCTTGAAGTCTTTATCATCTATGCTATTGCTATATGATGGTGAATGTTAAGCAATGAAGGGACAATGAGAGCAAAAAATAGGGGTGGAGATGAGAATGTTAGGATGGATGTATAGTAAGATAATTAAAAACTAGATCCAAAATGAATGTGTACAAGGAAGGGTAGGCATGACGCTTATTGAGGATAAAATGATAAAAATTGGTCAAATGTGGTTTGCACATGCGCAAAAAAATGTTAGATACTGGTGAGGAAAGTGGAGAGAATATATGGTCTTTAGCCCTATGATAAGATGTTAAGGGAGACCATAAAAAATACTGAATAAAATTATTGAGCATGATCTTATGGTGAATGATGTCTCTGATAAGTTTATTGTCAGTAGACTTCAACGGTATCGTGTGATTTGTGTAGCCAATCTCACTTATTAGGATAAGATTTTGAATTACATGACCTTATATTATTGTGTTTGGAGAAATTGGCCAAAATGCTGCTGCGCTAGTTGGTCAATTAAAGAAAGATATTTTTTGTTTATGGTTGCTTCATGAAATAATGAGAAAGTTTGAATTTTTATCTATCTGTGTGGTCAACAAAATATTACTCAAGAAAATAGAGGCTCTTTTTTTTTTTTTTTTTTGGGGGGGGGGGGAGGAGGGGGGTATCTGAAAGAAGAGGGTTTAGGTAAAGCAAACTTTTCTTGCCAAATTTTAGCGTCCTATTTCTGGTTCCTATTTTTCTAATGTATATCAGATGTTAGTTTGAAAATAGTTTCATTTTCTTTCCGTGAGTGATGCAGAACAAGTAGAAGGAAAGGGGCAAGACTGGAGGCCAGGGATAAAAGAGGGGGATGAGTTGAAAAATGAGAGGGCCACGGTTGGGGTAGAAAGAGAGTCCGAACTTCCATTTTTATCAATCGAAGCCCTGGAATAATTACTGAGAATTTAATATAGGGTCTGAGTGATCATTTTTGAATAATGTAACTGTAAAACAACAAAGAAGGACAGGTAAAAGCGTCACGATAAAAACAAAAACTATTAAAATGGATTAAGGAAGTTTCCTCTATATTTCGAATTCATGTGTTTATCCTTACTTGTTGGCTTAATCCTTAATTACAAAAAATCACCAACAGAACCCTTGATAATGAATCCAATTTATTTACGAAAAGTATGGATTTTTTTTTTTTGGGGGTGGGGGGTTCTAGCTTTAAGTTGTTAATTCAGGCGAATAAAACTGATTGGAGGTTAAATGGTCTTCCTTTGGATTGCACCCTTCCTTTTTTTTACTTTCTTTGGTAGTAATAGAACTTACAGAAGTGATATCAATTTGTAACATGCTGCACTATTAGCAAGTCATGAGTAGTGCGACTCCTTTTAGGTTTCTTGTAATGCATGGCAGAACATTTTAGTTTTATATGCTTGACTTGTACTTGGTGCAAGTACAGGATGGCCTTTGGCCCTTTTTGAAGAGGAAAGAATGTACTCTTTTTGTTTTAGTTTTACTTCCTCCTAAATTACCTTTGGTTGGTGGTATTTCTTTTGGGTTTCATGGTTTTTTGGTAACGGAAAAGAGGATAGGTACAACAAATACATCCCACTACCTAGACATGTCCCCAAAAGTTATTCGCCCTCTTCTAACTAACTCTATGGATTATACTCACCTTTTGGCCTTGCTAATTACAATAACTTGCTTCAAAATCTCTTGCCATATGTCAAATATTCCCCCCTAAAAAACATCTAGACAAGGATAGTAGAAGTTGGAGGAGCAGCAATATTAAAATGAGGAAATTGCTGCTGTATAGCCGGAAGGTCTTCCCAAGTAGCATCTTCAGGTTGAGAAAACTTCCAGTGATCTGAAACTTGGAACTTCCAGTGATCTGAAACTTGGGTAACAGGAAGGTTGTGGTGCTTAACAATCTTCCTTCCTAAAATCTCTTCAGGATCAAGTATAAACTTACCATAATCATTAACAGGTGGTGATGAAGGATTAACGAAAACAGAAGATTCAGCATATTTAAGAAGTGAAGCATGAAACACTGGTTGCCCGATTATCTGGCAAAAAATCCAATTCATAAGCTACATCATCAATCTGTTTCAGCGCCATAAAATGTCCAATATATCAAGAAGCAAGCTTGTGAAGCGAAGAATTATGAATCAAATTCTTCATAAAGGGATGGAGCTTGAGATACACGGTATCACCAACAGCAAAATGGTGTTCAGATCTGTGTTTGTTGGCTTAATCATCTGGTGTTGTGTTTTCGTCAAATGCTGCTTTAGAAGTTGGAGAGTAAGCTCATGAGACAAACAAGTGCAATTGACAATGTCATTTGGTGAATCCCTAGCTATGTAAGGTAAATGAACAGGTGGGGCACCCAATAAACAGCTTCAAATACCATAACTCAGCCAAGGGCAGTCATTTAACCCACCGTTTGGGAAAATCCCTCCTCATGCATATGTTGCTACAACTAGAATAATGGTAAGAGATTTCTAAGGGCTTTGTTGTAATTATCTTGGCTAGAAGGTGAGTATTATCCGTAGAGTTAGTTAGAAGAGAGAGATTTGTGTTTGGTAATGTGTCTAGGTAGTAGTATATACTCGTTTTACCTATCCTCTTTTCCATTTTGTCAAATGAATATCTTTTTTCTCTTCACTCATATCATACAGGTACAAAGCCCCTCTTTGGCCGTGTCACTGCCAAAGAAACAATCCTCCTCCGATCACATTGGTGATTGTAGCACTGTCTTGAGCTTCAAAATGCGATGCTTGAAACCACAAATACTTGTCTGGACTAACATGCTCAAGATATTGGTGAACTCTAGCAAGTTGCCTCACGCCTTGGTGGCTCTTCTTCCACCAATGGTCACGACATTCCTCAGTTTGGTACTTTCACTGAGTTTCAGAATACACCATCTTATTTTGTTCCTAGTAAGTAAAGCCGTGTTGAATTTCTCAAGTTTGATGCGCTGCCAATAATTTTTAGAAGTTGTTGGTATACATCTAGATCAACATATTTGTCCCTTGAGCATACACTTGGAGGGACATGCTCTGTGTTGGCTCCAAACTTTCATGAGGCATGGTTCATTTTCTGATATTTCCACGGTGAGTATTTCACTTAGAAGGAAACTAATTTTGCTGATGAGAAGGAAGAGAACCTTACAATTTATGTCAAAAAGCTTCAACAGGATGGTTATGCTAGTGATTACGAGAAAAAGTTCGATGAGCTTCTCTTTGAGGTCAGCATTCCAGAGGAAGTTACTAGGAATTGGAGGGCTTTGATATGATATTCAGAAGTTGGTGATTCATCTTGCTCCAACTCTAGCGTGTGCTAAGTCTATGGTTTGGAAGCAAGTAGCTACTGTTCTCGCTCTTCATGAGAACGCCCTAGCATCAACTTAGAGTATGCAAATTTCCCTCTTCGCCATTGACATTCTAACAACTCTAGGTTTTCTAAGTCTTCATCTATATTGGGCGCGAGATTAAGCCTTGAAACCCACCAGGCAAACTCACTAAGAAAGAGATGGATGAGTGTCGACCAAAGGGCTTTGGCTACTGATGTGCTGAGAAATATGCCAGCAATCACAAATGTAAATTCCAGGGTTGACGATTTGCGTTGAAAGGATTGAGGTATGAGGAGAAACCAGGCTCTGACACTTTATAATATAAGCAAAGAGGAAAAAGGGAAATTCACTTGACTAATGGGAAAGAGGATAGGTACATCAAATATATCCTCCTACCTAGACGCATACCCAAACATTATTCTCCTTACTAACTCACTCTATGGATTATACTCACCTTTTGGCCAGGCTAACTGATTTTTTTTTTTTTTTTAAGTGTTGCTGAATAAGGATCGTTTGGGCAAGGTCATAAATGCAGTTTTCTGATTATTTTGCTCTGTGAAGTTTCCTTGTGGAATGCTGAAGCTGGAGATTAAAGCTGTTGAGAAATGTTGATTACTGTTTACAAAATAAAATGTAATTTTGAGGGACTAGTGATCCGTTATCATCTGGGAATGTTGAAATTTATTGTTGTCTGACAGTCTTATAGTTATCATTTAGTGTTGTTTTTGCAAGTTTATCCTGTAGTTTAACTCAATTCTCATAATATTGTAAATGAAGGGATAGGGCTTAAGATGGGTGTGAGATGTTTTCTTAACCATACCTTTGTAACTGTTGTTTTAAGACCACTGCAGGTGAAGTCTAAGCACAGCATGTGCCATGTTGTACTGAATGGAGCCTATCAACAATGTGAATTGGTATCATCCTTGTCAGCTGTAATTTCAGATTCCTGTATGGAGTTCATCAAGCAGTTATCATCAAACCAAGTGCTGGTTGGTGCCGGTTGTGGCTTCTTGGGGTATTTGTGTCAGGTCATGTCAATTTTTCTTGGATCGTTGTTTATCATGGCTACAGTTCCCAGTTCAAGATTAGGATATCACTCCGCTGACGGAAGTGCGTTTGCGGGTTGTGGAAAATGGCTCCTTTGTTCTGTTTGGACAATTCAGTTGTGTGGCTCTTATTATGTGTTGCATGTTCTACTGTTGTGTGTGGTTGGTACTGTCTCGTGTTCATCTTGTTATACTAGTTTGTGTAATGAATTTTACCTTTTTACCTTCCTAAAAAAGGAAAAAGAGAGACACAAGTATTTTAGCTTCCCGGGAAAGATTAATGTCTAACTGACGCGTTCAGTTAGGAAAACACGCACGTATGGCTATATTTGTACCAGCCTTTCTGCTGGTTTCTTGACCAATGAGGCTGAGGAAGGGGTTAATTTATCATAAGATGTCAAATCAATGTTTCTTATAGTATTTTGAATAAAATTACTTCCAATAAAAAGATATTTATGAGTAATAAAAAAAATGATTCCTTAATACAACCTATCTCTCTTGGTCAGCTATATATATGAATTATATATATATATATATGTGTGTGTGTGTGTGTGTGTGTGTGTGAGCTTTTGATTTTGTGTGGCAGTGGAGATATATGGCTTTGAATCAGCTATATATATGAATTATACATATGTGTGTTTTTAGCTTTTGATTTTGTGTGGCAATGGAGATATATTGCTCTTGAATCTGGGAAATATGATGAAGCTAAGAGTTCCCCATGCAGGGGAAGAAAATTGATGGACTTTCGTTGAGTGTGTCAGGACAATATTAATGTAAAACATGAGAAGCAAGAAATTGCACTATTTATGAGTCAGAACAATATTTTTGGATTCTGATATTTTTTTTTACTGTTATATTTCCTGACCTCATTACTTGCATGGTTGATGCGGTTAAAGCTGAGTCAGCGAAGTCAAATAATTAGAAAGGAATCATTTATTGATTTTACTCAGACTGACCCATTGATTCTTCTGTCAGTATGCATTAGTTATTCATAAAACACATCAACAACCGAAATCTGCAGCCTCTATATTTTTCTGATCTTATACTCACTTGGCCGATGGGTTGTTGACAGAACACGATGGCATCGTGTGATTTATATAACCGATCCTACCTAGTGGGATAAGTTTGTTGTTGTTATATACTCACTTGGCCATAAACTAGGCATGTATAAAAACTACATCTTCGGTTCTCTTTACGTTGGTGCATATTTGGTCTCAGTTGTCTACATCAAATTTGATCATCTTCCCCCCCCCAAAGTAAGTTGAGAGCATTTAAATGTATCAATACTTAAAACTTTAAATTAAATATGTATTATGTTTCTATAGAGATATAAGAAACAGTTACTACAAAATTTCTATTTTATGTGTGTATACATACCATACATATGTGTGTGTATGTATAAACTAGTCTCTTTATAAGCATAGTGCACATGATGGCCCGAAAAGAAAGCACAAAAAGGAAAGTGAGAAAAAGGTAAAAGTGGAGATAAAGAGAAACTTGAACTTGATTGATAAGTGCACTCATATCTGAATATGGATGCCTCTCTAGTTTCCACTAATTACACTTCAAATATACATAAAAAATTAGATTTTTTTTTTAGTCTCGTACAGAATTTGAGAAATAAGCTATGTTATTAATGGTTTATGAATAGTATGGCTTGTTGTACTTCGAATTTTATTTATTAATAATTCTTTTGAACATAAATTTCCATCCAAATACCGTCTATATTTTAAGTTCGCAAAAGAAAAGTGGGAGAGAGAGAGAGAGGGTTGCTCCATTCTAAGGGATAATCCAACAAAAAGAGATGATGGGAACAACTTGAATGCTTTCAATTGATGGGATTCTTAATCAACTCAATTATCAGATCTAATTATTCATATTAATTTTGAAAATTCATATTTTATTTTATTTTTTTAAAATTTTTGACATAGAAAATTATTCTTTTCTTGGGAGTTGATGAAGGATTATGTTTAAAATGATCTAATTTCAAAGATCGGAATCAAGAAACAAACATAAACAAACATAACTAAACTTTGTACATGTGATTAACTTTATACTACTTAATCAACAACCTTGTGAGAAATAAATAAACTCCCTGTACATACTTTCTTAATAATTTCTCTAAGCAATTATTCTCATATATATATATATATTTTGCTTTTTTTTCTACATCAAAATTGCAAACCTCATACTATCGCTTACAATCATCTGATTCATATCAGAGAAATGTTCATAATCCCCAGATCCCCAGAAACCATCATTATAAACCCTACTCCCATTAGCTCCATAATCATTATTATAATCAGAAGAAGAAACACACAAGATTACAGACATAGGTGCAAGAAGAATACTATGTATCAGAGACCATCCTTGTGATCTTCTTCTTCTTCTTCCTCCTGCTGCTGCTTCTCCGTCACCTCCTCCTGCAAACATGTTCTCATCTGCAACCCTAGAGCTTTTCTTCATGTTCTCCAAGTTCCTTGCCATGGTTGCCACAAGACGCCACATGGATATCCTTTGACGACTATATATATGTATGTATCTTTTTATCTGATGATCTTTCTGCTTTGGAAGGAAGCCAAGCGAAGGAGCAGTTCAAAAGAAACTGGTTTAATTTGTGAGTTTGTGTTCTGATGAAGAGAAAGAAAGAGGTTGAAGGAGGTTTTAATAATGGTTTCTTCAATGGTGGGTGGTGGTGTTGCTGTACTTTTCTGCTGGTTAGTGCTTGTGTTTATCACAAAAGCTTAATGGCTGCTTTATAGTTTTTTAAGGGACAACAATAAAAAAATATTGAGAATATCACACAAGAGGGCCAAAACAAAGGAACATTTGCCTTGAAGGTCTCATGAATATTTTACTTTTTTATTTAAGATAAATATTTTAATTAATTACTCAAAAGTCCCTCAAGACCAAAACTTAAAGATATAGAAAAACAAAATCAAAAGGAAAATGACATGTTTGTCCTGATTAAGGAAATTATATCAATAAAATCTTACTAATTCATTATTATAGACTTCAAGTGTTATTTATCAGACATGTCAAATGACAAAATTGCCAAACTTTCAGTACCCTCTCTCTTCTTTCTTTAATCTTAATTGTCAATGTTTAGAGTTGAAAATACAGGCCAGCCAGTAAGTTATAAGTAAGACAAGATAGTTAAGAAAAACCACTTCAAGACAGACTGACACTTTGCCGACTTAGTTCATTAGAAGTTTAAAAAATTCTTGTTAGGATGTTAAAAATTCATTTTTTTTAACTAGTGCTTTTAAATAATTAAAATGGCAATAGGACTTCAAAATAAATATTCTATGATTTTGGTATTTTTAATTTGATATATATATATATATATATAGACAATATAGGTACTAACACGCGCGCGCACACAGATTGTAGCATCTTATTATTCTTTTTATTCTTTCAATAGATAGATATAGAGGGTATGGGGTCTATAATCATCCCAACTTGCCGACAAAGTGCTTTATCCATCCGTAGGAAAGGACTCAGCTTCATCTCCATTTTTGAAAAATTTTGAGTTCATTTTTGTCGTTTTATATATAAGACATTGGAACAAAAATGGGATAAAATTTGTAAATGTAGATTCTGATCTCAGAAAATTAAACAAAGATATAGGACAGACCGATATGACATGGATAAAAAAAATCGAATCTTAATTAACATAATTAATTTGCAAAGTGTCTTCTTCACGTAAAATTTCGGTAGTTTGCAGAATTTATCATACGTCTAATATAAGTCATAAACAATTGAGATGAAGTAATACTGAGTAGTTGAGTTTGATGTGTGGGCTTGGTTGGTACACAAAAAATGAAAATGAAAATAAAATAAAAAATGATTTTAAAAACGAAAATATCTTCAGAGAAATACATAGAAACACCTTTAGAATTTTAAAAAGATACTCTTATAATGATTTTGATGAGTTAGAATATGTCAAAATCACTTATTTATTATTTTAAATTTAATGGGTCATTTTTTGTCATTTTCTCAATATCTTTTGTGCCTTTTTTGGGGCCACCTTTTGGGTCCTTACTTTAAACAAAATAATTACATGAGACAACAGATGTTGAGTGATTATTATAACGGCATGGTATCTCAACTTTTCCTTCACTTTCATCCTTTTTCTCCGCATTGTTAATGTCAATTAAAGACTTTAAAAGCGAAATATAGTGCAATCAATATTAAAAAAATTAATTATGCTCTCTTATCTTAAATATAAAAAATAAGTAACTAATTTATACAGATTAAAATATTTGTTGAGTTAATTATTCGTAAAAAAAAAAAGTATCCTAATTTGCCAACAATACCTTTTATTTATTTACATCAAAATTTTCCCTTTAACAAAAACCTCTTTTAACATGCATACTCCTACATTTAGTACCAAAGAGAGCATATTATTTATGTTTCTTAAAATTACAACTTAGTGTTCTGTGAGAAATCTAAAGTAACAATCTTTATAAGATTAGGAAGATTAAAGTTTAGCCTTAAAGTAAACAAGTTGTAACTTTAAGAAGTACCGATGAGAACTTACTTTAATTAAAGCATTTAGTTACTATCGATATAAAAAAATTGCATAGTTCCTTAACTTTTCCCCCCTGAATTAGTTTTCTGAGTTGTCTGATTTGATCAAAAGCAAGTTGGAATTTTTTCGCAAGTGCCAACTTTACAGTTCATAAGGGTCCAGAGTTGAGGGTCCCAAACACAAGAAGAAGGTCAAGGCAAAAAAGCAAAGATTCAGATGTGATCAGACTATTATGAGTCACTCAAACCCTATTTGGGTGACTGATTGATCAATTTGATTAGTAATTTCATCACAGAATCATAATCTTGAGATCATCCATCCATCTTTATTCAGACATTGCATGTGGGTGTATGAAGAATTTGGTTTAGCTTGTATTGTCACAACATAAAAAAGATTATTATTTATAAAATCTGATCATTTTAATTGATTCAGACTATATAATTATTTTAGTTTGGTGGGAAGTGAGTTTTGATACTATAAATAGTAGAAAGGGAAAGTACTTGTGGATTTACCACAGAATGCAATTGATATGTAGCATATGGTGGCAAAAATTAGATTTGGTGTCAACCACAAATTGCTTTAGCGATAGCACCCACTATGCTTAAACAATATCTTAGGTTCCAATCTTACATTTGCATGTTTATGTGTATGTACGCTTAAATTGTATTAAAAAAAATAGACTCATCGGTTGGTCTAATCGTAAAACTAAATGAATCAGTTACTAGTTTGATTTAAATAAAAGGGGTAATCACCCAAAGAAGAAGGAGCCAAAGTGCTCGCCAATAGGTCAAAATTGATAAAATAGTGGTGGTTCAAATAAACAGGTCAGTTTTATTTCAAAATTTTGGTTTTTACTTAAATTTAAACCATGTTAATTTCTAATTAATTTTTAATTTATGCATATATTCACCTAAGAAGTATATTGGGTAAGGAAGATTAATGGACAAGAAATATGCATGTACGCATGTGTGTGTTATGTAGAGGAGAGATAATGTGATATATTATCTCATAATTATTTTATTTTTATTTTTAAAATTATAAAATGTTCATTAGATTTCCAATACTAATACTAAACTTCTTATCTTTGTTCATTTCAATTTTTTAAAAAAATTTTATTGTTATTTTTTATTTAAGATCAATTTAAACATGTTTTCGTTATGATGACCAATCCAAGACTTCTTACTTTATATATAGGGAATACTAACTAGCCAATAGATATCAGAGAATTTTGTTTTAGAGGGAATGAAATATTATTTTGAATAAAATTTGCTCTCATAATTAATTAAGACATATTAGATATGGTCTAAATATTTTTATTTTTAAAAAAAGTTTTGATGAAAAGTGGGCTTTGATACCTATTTAATATAGTGCTATAGTATCATGTAGGAAACACTATTTGGGGATCAACTAAGAAAAGTATTGCATAGTTCTATAAACCACAAACAGCTTTTTAATTATTAAGTTAAAGTTACATAAACTAATCTTTGTATATGCTTGAGAATTTTCTGGAGCAAATTGAAAATTTAAATTTAGCCTAATGAAATTGATTGGATTATCAAAATTAATTAATTATCTTCAGGTGAAAGAAAGAAAGAATCAATGTCCTTGTATATTTTATTATAAATTTAATTACAAAAAGTTAAAATAAAAGGTAAAAAAAAACAGATTCAAAGTTTTTTGTAGGTTGCCCAACAAATCTAGGCCGTAGCTAAGATTGAGTGGGAGAATCAATACTAGTTAGTATGGTACCAAAGTGTGATGGAGACCTATGTGGGTGGCATGACATTATTGCTATTTTCTCCACTAAAAGAATCCCTTCCAATTGTATTTATTACTTTCCTAGGTTTGTCTGCTTCTATAAAACAATAACACAAGAATATATTTTACAGCTAAAAAAGAAGAAGAAAATTCATAAGACATGCCAAAGGTTTTGCCAATATTAATGATTTCATCTTTACTTTTCTTTTCAATTCAATTTTCAGAATCATTTTTTTTCATGCTGCTAATTAAATGTAGGAAATTGTGGTTCAGTCTCTTTCATTTTAACTGTATCTTGGGTAATCTAAATTTATATGAAATTTTAGAGTAAATTATACTATTGATAACTTATTAATATTAATAAGAGTCGATGGAGAAAGCTTTTCTTTTCTTTTCTTTTCTTTTCTTTTTAAAACTTGTCCAAAAAGGTTCTAAAACCACTAATGAATATTGTGGCTTACTAAACATTTAATTTTATATGCTAACAAGAGTTGATCTAATTGATAAGGAATCAGCTCATAATACATAAAGTCATGAGTTTAAATTTTACTGCTAATTTAACGATCTTATTGGCGGGCCAAAAAAATTTAACTGTATGTACACATATATTAACTTTTTCAGTTCAATTTACTGCCTTAATTTTATAAGTTGTTTTTTTAATACTCTAATCTTGACGCTATTAACTTCATTGATTAAAATCATTAGTTGAGAGTATTAGGATTCAAAGACGGATGAAAAAAATATTTTGTACAATATATTAAATTAAAATTTTATATAAAGTTAGAAAGGCAGAAATATTACACTTTTGTCCAGCTAAACTGAGGGCTTATATTCACACGGAAATTGAGACGATTCATAATATTATTAATTTATAAATAATATGATTATGACATTTATAAAAATTGGACAGGAGCAATCAATTAACACACTTAAGAATTTAGATTGGATGTGCATCTTTAGGGATGTAAGCACGGTTTGCATCTCTCTTTTAAATTACCTATAAATTAGATTTAGATGGTTAATTATTTATTATTTTCTAATATACATATTGACCTCAATTTATATATATAAAATATAATCTCCTAACAATTGAAAGATTTATGAACAGACACAATGGTGGACAGCAATTAGAAAAGGAGTAAACATTAAACAACTTTAATTTCCACTCGACCTAAAAATATTTATTTAAAATAAACATTTTGGATTCTTTAGAAAAGCATGTTGAAAAGCTCAAATTTTCAAATCTGAATTGAAAACGAAAGACTTTATTAAATCTTATGCAATGACAAATATCTAGTCGTGGCTATTTCTTTCTATTTGAAAAGTGACAGTTCAACAGCCTACAAGAGCAATAATTACAGTTCAGAACCCTGAAATTTTAGATTGTCAAAAATTTTAACAGCACCACATAATACTTTTC